CTGGGGAGTTACTATGAAAACCTTGCTCGTTTGTTGGTTCTGTGGTTCAGTTAACTTCTTTTTCTCCTCAGTGTCTGTTAAGGTCTGAAAGCTGGACTTGAGGTTAGGTTTCAAGAAACATACCCAAAATGCCTCTCTTCATGTTGTATGATCAATGAAAACTGACAAAGTACAGTGGTAATTACAGTTGTAGACGTGCATAGAATCACCGAATATTTTGGTAGTCTTAAGAACATCATTTCATCAAACCTTTTTGGATAGGGAAGAGATTCCCAACAAGGGACACAGTCAGGGTTAGGGAGGGGCTCAGAGTTTCCTAGTGAGATAAGACCCACAGTATGATTTGGTTGTGTTTGGTTATGAAACTTCTTGTATCTGTGAAAACCAACCTTTAAATTACATCTGCTACCCCCACTGCTATGCGTGCATCTGACTTGATCTCTCTTCTGTTCAATTCAGGAGCCTCAAGATCTATAGAATAATTCAGAGCTCTGCAAGTGTGATTTTATGGCATCACGTTTGGGATTGGCGTCACGTCATTGTTACACAGATGCACGTCTCTGTATTTTCTAGTAGGAATAGCAACACATGTATTAACAATTTTATGATGCTTTGATTCCTGACAAAGTCTTTTTCTGTTTATCATTTCATTTCATTCATAGGAATAAGCTTAATGATTGTGGGTTTCCTGAGTATCTAAAGGATTGTTTTTGATAGAAAAATTAACATGGAATAATTATCCATGCTGCATCTGTAATTAAAAGTTTTCTTTATCCCAAAGTGATCATGCAGTTTTGTCTCGTTTTATTTAGATCCTGAGACCAAGTTGACCTGTAGTTAGTGCCTAGGCGAGAGTCTCTTTATGTTCTGAGCCTTGGCTTTATTTCTTATGCAATGAGAAGATGATTCCTGTTACTCGTAGTAGCACAGATTGCCTAGCACTGGGGTGCTGTGAAAAATAAAATCAGTTCTTTGTGTGCATGCACATGTATATTATCTGGTAATAGTTTTAAATATAAGTTGTAACTTTCGAATGACCAGAATGGCAGCCCTGCAAACATTTTGGGCTTCAAAACTTATTAAACATGTTTTCCTCCTCCTTGTGTGGATCAACGTGTCTTTTGGCGAGTATGCTGTCATGGTTTATGTCGGTGGCCCATATGCCTCATGGGTTTACATTATGCATCTGTGATTGGTTCATTGTCTAGTGCTTGGATTGATGGTGTCAGTGCTACACTCACATAGGGATGGAGCCAGGATGTGATGTAATGGCAGGAAGAAGTTGTGTCTTGCTCTCTTGCCCATTTCTGCCTTGCTGTTTGCAGCCGCCATCAACTGCGGCCCTGCCATGCCACCCTGCCTTGGAGCCAACTGAGTACGGACTGAAACCTCCAAACCCTGTAAGAAATAAACCTTTCCTTTCCCAACTTTGGGTATTTTGTCTCAGCGGCGAGTAAAAAGTAACTAAAACATACGCTATTACTGTGCAGTGAGCACTTGTTGATGGGATATTTTGAACAGTATAGATCTTTCAAAGTCTAAAGTTGGTGATTGAAAAGTGACTTATATTCCTGCTAAGGATGTCTGATACCTCTCATTCAGTTTCTGGACTATAAATTCCATTGATAGAACTCTTATATCACATTAGGAAGTTGAGCATTACCTTTGGGCCAAAGCAGTTTACTTTTCAAGAATTTGATTAATTCCAACACAATCAGCTAGTACATCAGATGATTTCAGTACCTCTGATCGATGCTGACAGGTGAGGAAATTAAAATCAGGGAGGGAGGCAATTAAATACTGACAAACATTACTTTAATGAGGCAGACAACTCCTTCGTAAGCTGTGGAATAGGTTGTACTCTTGATAATATCTCAGGGTGGTGGGTGAGAGACTGCATTTAGAGATGTTCTGGTGGGTTTTGATGATTGGAGTTGAGGACATTTCATGTTCTAACATTTCACCTGCTAATGCAGTCAGATTTTTGCATTTAAATTGTATCATCTTTTAATTTTACCAGATCTTAGTATAAGTTACCTTCTCACCCCCCACAATGCTATCTCATGAAATTTGTGAAAATACGCAAAATTTACACAGAATAATTCTTAGTTTTCTCACAGTGGTTTAGAAATAACGATGGCCAAGACCTATGAAACGCGAAACACAAAAATTACTTACTTTGGGGCTGGGGATTTAGCTCAGTGACATAAGTGCCTGCCTTGCAAGCATGCAGTCGTGAGTTCCATCCTCAATACTGATAAAAAAAAATTACTTATTTCATACAACTTTGATCCAAAATTGCCCAGACTGGACTCAAACTTTCAATCCTTTCAATCCTTCTTTCTCAGCCTCCAAGTAGCTGGGCTTACCGGTGGCTGTGTGCCCCAGAACCTGATTCTCTTTGCTGTTTACGTAACACCCCTATTAAGACAGAACATCTGGGACAGTAGTGTTAAAGAGTAGCCAGTTTACTAACTTTATTGGAAATTTTTACAAGGCACTGTCACATTGCTCATTTTTATTATGGCACTTATAAAATACTGAGTATTATGAGTTATAGTTATGCTGATCTCATGTCACTTAGAACTTTTGTTCACAGTATTAGTGTTATCATGCTAGGGCTAGATTTTTAAATTTTTTATTTGGGCAGGACTATACATTCAAGAGACCCTGGTTAGTAGAAAACTCCCTGAACCAGGTCTCTCTGCTGTGTTCATTTTCTTCGTTTTTCCTTTCCTTTCTGCTTTTTCCTTGTACTCTTATCATTTTCCTTCTCTTCTTTCATTAGCGTCATGTATTCCATCCTATTTTTTCCAAAATAACAGCATCAGTTAGTACCCCCATAGCAGTCTCAACTAGATTTGCTGAGTGTAGGTTTGCACAGATTCTAACTAATAGGCCAACTTTGCAGGTTTCAAGTTGATCTTACGGATTATTTTGGGTTGAAATTGCCTCTGGAAATGAGCACATTTTTCTTGAGTTTGGAAGGATGGTTCAACAAAGGATGCAGCCATGCCAAGTTCTGGGTCAGCAGTCCTAAAATACACAGAGCCAGCCCAGGCTATCTGGCTTCATTACCAAGAGGCTCGAGTGGGATTTGCCAGTTGTCCCAGATGTCTTTATGGATTATACAGAACTCGATGGCACTGTGAAATAGGAACAACAGGACACTCAAACCATGAAAGAGCACCCGAGCTTAAACTTCACGGTGCAGAATCTCGTAGTTTCTTGGCTTGGTTTCAATGATTTGTCCAAGGCTTTGCCTCTGTGAGACTTCACTGGGGTTGAGCACAGAAAGCGTCCCTAGTATCTCTACACAGAATACTCCTACTTTTTCCCAGCAAAGTGTCACCTTCCACCAGACCACAGAGGTGAGGTCCTCTCCCTCTCCTTTCCCTTGGAACCCAAAAATGAAATATGCTTGGCAGTTGGGACCAGTGAGTGCTTTGACAATAGAATTTGGTATGTTATGTATTTGATTTCCATTTCCTGAAGTTGTTCAGTTGCTCTCTCCAAATACCTTGGTCCCAACTTGGAGGCCACATCATGTAGGATGCCTACTGATTTTGGTATCAAGGTCCAAGACTGAATTTTTATCTGCCTCCTCTTAATCATGTCATCTTTGAAACACGGTTTCTGCATTTGTAAAATTGTAATCAGGTATCATCGAAGTTATGTAATGAGGATGATTTGAGATCTACTGACCATGTTAACATTTGTTGAACTATAAAATTAGCTTTAATTTTAGAAGATGATTAAGGTTTTGATTTTGGTGGCAGGTGGTAAGTTTCCTCACAGGGCATGTTATCAACAGTGTTCTCCGCCTAATCCAGTTTGAGTCTTTTATGAAAATTGGATATTTGAGTAAAACTTGCAAAAGGACTTATCCTTTTTGATCTATTACATTAAAACTGACTCCCTTTGTTCCTGCAAGATTGATTGGCTGTACTTTCTTTTTGAACCTAATACATGGTGATAAGCAAACTTTACAATGATGTGTGATTCATCAGCAGATTTTTCTGGATGCTAAGATTTATTTTTGGGGAGTTGAGGGAATTTCAGTTTTTTTTAAAAAAAATTTTTGGTGCCTTGTCTTACACGATCAGAGATATTTGTGCTGTTTGTTGTTAGGTTGTGTCCTGTGAAACTGACATATACACCACAATGTGGTATTTTGAAACTAGGGAATATGAGTTAAAAAAAAAATTCTCACCCAAAGACATTCTCTAGCATTATGTGCCTGCAACATCATTTCCTGATCATATAAACATAGGCTTGCAGATAGAAATGTCATCATTTTGTGCACTACTTCTACAAATATGGAATAATAGGAACAAGGCTTAACAGGATAATTTTGGCTCTGGGTTAGAGGTTACAGTCTTAATCTGCATACAGAATTGTTACCCAGAGAGTTAAGCAATTTACCCAGTATCCGGGATAAGAAGGTAAGAGTGACTGGCTCTCAATCCCCTGGGCCGCTCCTGCTTCCATGCCACTAACATAGTTGGATTCTTTTTAATACTCCAGCTCCACCCACCCTGTGCCACAAGTCTTGTGTGTTATTGGTCTTTGGGTCTTCCCACTGTCATAACTAGGAGGTGCTAAGTGAGAAGGACAGGTCACTGGACCAACAGACAGAGCCCCTGGTTTCAAACTCATGCTTTGCTTTAGTCTTGGGCAAGGTCCTCACCTTCCTTGAACTTCAGCTCCCACACCTGTAAGATGAGGGTAGCAGAGTCCATTTCACACGGTGCTGGTGAAGTTCCTGAGGATACATGCATTTGCTTCCCTCTCGTCCTTTCCGTCCCTCTGTGAGCTCCTATTTCTATGATCTGTGTGTAGAATAAATCTTTCCTGTTTCTCCATGAGGGCCCTGGGGTGAAATGGGATAATGAGTGTGGAAATGTTGATAAAACAGGAAACTGCTATCTACCTGTAAGAGGTTATGAATAAAAACAGTTTTAATGCACCAGAGTAACTAATACCTATTTCATTTACAGACACCAGCATTTCATTTGGCTGAGCCCCCTGTCTGCTGCGCTTTAGACGAGCAAGCGAGCTCCTCCAGGTAAGAGAGGACTGGCGACTCCGCGGTTTTGAAATAAGTGCTAAGCACCATCCGAGCCAGTAATGTTTAAGGTTAATTTTATTCTCCATAAACGGAATGCAAACATATTCCATGATTGACAGAACCAGAAAAGTGGCCAGGACAGTGACCTGTCCTCCATTTGTATCTTCATAATTTAGTTTTTCTTTCAGACCAAGAGTTGAAAGGAGTGGGGAGAGGGATGGGCAGTGGAAAAAAAATTAGGGGGGGGGTGGGGATTTAGATTAGCAGCCTTAAGCGCCTGCCCTGGCAAGCATGAGGTCATGAGGTTGATCCCAGGTACACCCCGCAATGTATATAAATGATGTGTTATGTACACATCCCAACTGTCCAAGATAAATATAATCGTTGTGTACTTCAAACATGAAAAATAGTTTCCTTTCAATTCTTTCCTCTGAAGGTTTAATGCCAAAAACATAAAAATCTGGACAATGCAGAAGGTTCAGATTTGATGGTTATTTAAGCTGACCTCTAGGATGTTTTCACCTATTATTTCATTGTATCCTCAGCTAGCACCTGGCAGCAGGTTTTCCATCCAGTTTCCTGGGCCTTCACTGAGTGTGTTTTTCATTATTCTGAGCTGCCAAAATTGTGTGAGTCTGAAGGGACTAAAACATACTAGCCAGGGATGTAGCTCAGTAGTATAAGCTTCTGCCCGGCGAGTGCAGGGTCCGAAGTTTGATTCCCAGTACCCTCCACATAAACAACATGCTAGTAGGGTCAGTCACTTTCTTTTTTCTGCCCAAGAAATCATCTCAAAGAGATACAATCCGAGCTTGCAGAAAATGAGTCAGGAACTTTTGAAGTCTAGGAACAATATTGCACCTCCATGCTGCTCTACTGCGAGGTGAATGCAAGGACACAGGTTAGGCTGAAGGTTGCATTCATCATGAGTTTGCCAAGGAACGGAGGCTGAGGAGGAAAAAATTAAGAATGGTCGAATTGTAAAATTGCAACATGTGATTTATTTTTCCTGCAGTTAAGGAGGTACTTTCTGTACCTCTTAGTGAGCTCTACCTTGTTCTATGTAATCTTTTAGAAGTCTCAGCTAAAATGGGCAATAGGTCAGTGCGACCTTGCTAACTGTGGGCCTTACAGAATGTAACTTTGTGGAATATTGGATATATTTAAAGCCCGGTAAGCATTTATTCTGCTGAATGGTATATTAGTTCATTCGGTATATTATCTCTATGGTCTTGGACTTTAAACATGATTTTCATTGTAGAGACTTCAGGAAAGATTGAAGTTGGTTGGTGTTGCCACATATTCCTAGGACTTAATGACTTAGAATGGGATGGAAATTATGGTTGTCGGATTTGTCTGATGAGAACCTGTCCTGTACCAACAGTTGGGTGACGTAAGCACTGAGAAACTTCTGTAGTTAAATTAGACATAGCAGTCACTTGTTAGATTTCTTTTGTTCCTCATTTCTACTCAAAAAGCCCATATGAAGAAAAAGGTATGGCCACAGATAAGTCTACAAAATGCCCCTGCAAATGTCTTTTTAAACATATTATTTTCAAGGATAAGTATGTCTGGGAAAAATGTCCTATAGATATCTCCAATCAGGGCCTTAATACTTCTCAGAGGCAGATAGCTAACTTGCTTATTTAGGAACTGCAGTTATCCTACGAATCTTTGCCCAGACTAAGCTTTTAAAAATGGTTAACTATGTCTTTTTCTCCACTGAAATCTGTCTTGGAACCACACAAAACTATTTCAAGCAAGATTTGAAGGGTTACAGAAATTGTTCTTTGTAGAGGAACTCTCCCTCTCTGTCTATCATCTATCTGTCTGTCTGTTTATCATCTGTCATCTATCCCTCTCTGTCTATGAATCAAACCAGTCTCCGTTCTCTGGAGATAGGGGCTAGTAGGCAGCGGAGGATAGAGAATTCTTAAAAAATATTCAGAAGGTGGAGAAGTAATCATTCTGGTGGCATGTGGTAGAAACTTAAAATAATCTTGCGGCAATAATAATTGTTATCAGAGGCAGTAATGAGGAAAGAATAACAGTTTAAATAAATAATTAGACTTGACAGGAGACATGTCAACAGGTACTTACTTAATGAGTATAATCATTGTTTTTCTGTACTTTCAACGTTGATCCACCAACTGCAGCCTGTTCCCTGTCCCATTTCCAAACCAAATCTATTTAAAGCTGTACTTCATGGAATCTGAAATGCTATACTCTGTTTACTATTTAGAGCTGGTACCTCATGTTTTTTAATAGGCAAGTTCAGAAGAACAGGCTTCTGGCCTCCTATAGACCGATTACCCCTCTTTTTCCACAGGGTAATTCATTAGCAAGGATGAATATTAATGAATTCTCATGGATTTGTCTATATTGCCAGAGTGAATTGTTTATTAGAACATGAGGGAAACATCCCTTGTGTATTGTAAATAAATTTAATCAGTTATTACTATTATGAATTATTATTATTTTGAATTGGAAGTAGAGACTGTAGTTATAAAGGAATCTACTTCCTTGCTATCTGGATAGGGGCCATTGTTTTGAGGGGTTTTGAAGCACTGTGTCATGTGAAGTGTGAGTCAAAAGCAAACAAAATCTAGTGCTAATTCCAGCTCTGATGTCAACAGGCTGTGTTGCCTTGGGCAAGTCGTCTGCCTTCTCAGAGGTCCACTTGAGCCTCTAACAATGGAGTAGACAAAGGTGTGCCAGTTGATCGTGACTTTTCTTCTACTTAAATGTTCTACTATCTGGACTTTTATTTCCTAGCCAGTCCCTCCTTCTTCCCACTTCCATGTTACAAAATCCTGACTCTATTACAGAGTCAGTCAGAACTGTGAAAATAGTTCTTGTTTTATTTAGCTTTTGCTTCTTTTTCATACCAAGAAAGCAGATCATGATTTGAATTAAATCATGCTTAGACATTTATACCCTGGTTGTCTCCTACCCCCATGAAATTTCTTTTTTATTTTATTACTTTACTATTTTTTGACAGATGATTTTTTTTTTTTTTTTTTTTTTTACTACGTAGTGCATATTGACCTCAAACTGAACTCTGATTTTTGTGCCTCCACCTCTCCAGTGCTGGGTCCATTAGATTTCAAGTTAGAAAGAAAACAAAACAAAAACAAAAAATCCCAAACCATCTCCCCTATTTTATGACATTGTTCTGGGTCTCATTGTTAGAGTATCTGGTAAACTCATTCATTACAAACGGTATTAACAGAGGTGAATTGCTCTTGTTTGATTTTTTTCCTGGTAAATCGCTGGACCTGGCAGGAGAGGTTCCAGTAGTAACCAACTTTCCTATTTTAGAGATGGAGATTTTGGGGTCAGATTTTGGGAATCCAGTTTTTCTGAGTTTCTGGTGGTCAATCCTGGACTAAAGTTTTGTTTTTTGACTCTATAGCTATGTCTCTGCTTTTGTTAGGAAATCTCTTCCTGTTAATGTCCTTTCTCTCCCCAGTGGCACTCTGCCACTCAGCCACATCCCCAGCCCAAACCCATGCCTTCTCAATAGTATGCTTCCATCTCTCAGTCTGGCTTTATTTAGTATGCTTTCGCCTCACCAGTTGACAGGTCCCTTCTTGCCAATGGAGGTCTCAGAGCTGCTCAGGCAGTTCGCCTGTGTATGTGTATTTGCAGTTGGGGTAAGAGTGAAGACTGTGGGAGCTTAGAAAACCCAGGTGATTCTGCAAAATATTAGGAAGCTGCACAGCTGCAAAAAGTGCTATCTGTAACTTGAAGACTTTGGTAGATACTCCAAAGGCCATGCATGGGTTCTAGAGTGGGCACAAGATGCTGAGGTGACATTTGTTTGGCAAATACTTCCTGTTGCTGGTGGCTTTGTCTTCCAGTTCACCCATTGTTCTGCTCTCACTGTCAGCACCGCTGAGCCTGACTCCGGATATTTACACCTTTTTCAAACTGCTGAGAGATATTTTCATATTTAAAATTTCATTTTGCTTACTGTGTTAATTAACTCATGTTTTCATTCAACTGCACGTTGAACCCGTAGTCTGCTAACTGCGAGTCATTTTAATATAGTGCCTAATTTTATTTAATTTTATGAAGTAGAAGGCTGTTTTTTTTTTTTTTTCTCATTTTCTCATATAAGGAAAGCTCAGGAAGGCTAAGTAATTTGTTTAAAGTCCTATAACAAGTACCTAGTAAAATTTGGGTAAATCAATTTGCTCTTTTCAAACTGTGCAAATATCTCCAGATATAACATCACTTATGAACAGGGATGATGAGACAAGTTTATAAACCAGGGGACTGGCTGGTAGAAAATGGTAAGTGGGCCTTCAGAGGTAGAGCAATGGTGTGCTGTGGGAGTTTGATGAGGGCCAAGATCCCACATTTTGAGTCATTTACATGGTAATTCACTAATTAAATTCTTAGCCAAGCCATAAGGCAAAATTTTTTTAAAAAATGGCAATTATATAAATGCATTATAAATCACTCAGAGTTTTCTCTTGTTTTTCAGACTCTATCAGGTTGGTTGTCTTGTTAAGCGAAGAAACAAACAAAAAAATGGTTAGAATCATAGCACTCTGATCCACTGAATTGGAATTTCAGTCCTTTGGGGAATAGGTTACTTTTTCCTATTATATCAAGCGTGGGACTTTTTAACAGAGATGGATTTCTGACCTTACATAGAGCAGCAGAAATGCAGATGTGAGTGGCTAGAGTTTAGAATCTGCCAAGTTGTAATGACTGCCACATGTGCAGAGCTAATCCTTGGTGCTGGTGACCCACTGTGAGTATGTGTGGGCGCCGGGGCAGTGAAAGCCAGTGTTGAGGTGCAAGAGGCTTCCAAGATTACCAGGGGCCATCCTCTCACTGACAGGGAAGGGAGGCACAACCTAGAGCGTTCAGGCGGAGGGTGAACGGCTCTGTGGGCATAGTGGCAGAACAAGACCAGACTAAGTGCTGGCTCTCTGCAGGCACATCTCTGGGTATTGCGTCCTGCATGCCTGTGTGCTCATCCT